ACCGAGCCCCGCCTACCCAGATGGTCATTAGGGCAGAAGAACCGGTTGGTAAATTATTTGAATCCCACCACCGATTTCCTTCCTTGTTAATCGCTGCAGTGCCTACTGGTGATGTTACGTAGCACCTGAGAACCTTCATTTCAACCCTCCTTCAATTCTCCTTTATCAAGGGAATAGGAAAGGATAAGCATAAAATTATAAGAGGGTTTGCAGGAATACCATCCCGAAAATACACCAGTTCAGAGCTGAAAAGAGATAACCACAACAACAGAAAAGGAAAGGAAAGGAGAGTAGGAAAGGAGAGGAAAGGGAAGAGAAGGAAGAAAGAGGAAAGGAGAGGAAGGAGGGAAGAGATAGAAAGAGAAGGAGAGAGGGTAGGAGGGGGAAGAGGAAGAGAGGAGTAGGGGAGAGGCAAGGAAAGGAGAGGCGAAAGGAAGAAAGTAGAGAAGGGAGGGAGGGTGAAAAGAAAAGAAAAAAAAGAGGGTGGTGATAATACAAAATAGGTGTATGGGATGGTAAACAAAGCAATCCAGAATGTATATTTTCACCTTTTATATGGAAAAACAAATATGAAAAAGTGATAAAGATAAATAAGAACACTATGTGGATGTATACCTGCAACTACCGTATTTTTCAGAGTATAAGACACACCTTTTTCTCTCAAAAAAGGGGATGAAAATCTGGGTGCGTCTTATACACTGAATACAGCATTTTTTTGCCTCCCGAAACCCCGTCCCCTTTGCAAAAAGGGCATGCATAGCCCTTAGGAGACTTATAGAGTGCTCCTGGGGGCTGGGAAGGGCAGAAATGAGCGAAAAACGGGCCGGTTTTTGCTCAATTTCCCCCCCCAGCCCCCAGAAGTACTCTATAAGTCTCCTAAAGGCTATACATGCCCTTTTTGCTTGTTTTTGGGGGGTCCACCCCCCAAGAGCACTCTACAAGCTTCCTAAAGGCAATTCATGCCCTTTTTTGGGGGGGAAACGGGGCCGTTTTTGTGAAAAATGGGGCTTTTTGGGAGGATTGCAGAGGGCAAAAACTTTTTTAATATGCTTCTTCAAAATCTTGGTGCGTCTTATACTCCAAAAAATATGGTATATATAAAAGAATTATTATTTTTTAAAAAGAAATTTGGGGCTCAATTGTGGTCGTAAGTTGAGGACTAGCTGTACATGCACAAGGACTAGCACAATTATTTTTGCCGAACCAAAGATTTAACATGTCATTTGCACCAGAACTCTGGCTTGTCTGAAGATACTTAGATACATTTTACTTAGGTACATTTCACACATGCTTCTCTCTACAAATAGAGAGGGGTGTGTGTGTAAAATATACCTAACTATTTAGCTCACCCAACATTTAATTGTCTTTGCTTTCATTTTTGCTTATGAAAGTGTATTTAAAAATCCATAAATGCAGCTGTAAAGGGACATTTTAGTCTCAAGCGGTTATAGGAGGATTTTGTTCAACTTCTGTTTCTGGAATCATTCTCCTCTCTTATTATTCCCTTCGTATTTGAGTAGGATTTAGGTGAAAAGATTTAATTTATAAAGACAGGATTATTTCTCTCTCTTCGCTCTTCCTCTCCTCTTTTGTGATCCGTGGAGATTTAAGAATAATTTTCTACGTCCATATCAAGGCAGCATTTCTAACATGTTCCTCATCTATTCTCATAATGAGGTAGCTTACAATATTTTACTATGATAAGGTAAAGGTAAAGGTTCCCCTCACACATACATTCTAGTTCCTGACTCTAGGGGGCGGTGCTCATCTCTGTTTCAAAGCCGAAGAGCCAGGGCTGTCCGAAGACGTCTCCGTGGTCATGTGGCTGGCATGACTAGATGCCAAAGGAACACGGAACNCCCACTAGTGGGCGGTAGGGACCAGGTTGACTACCACTGGGCTAAACTAATGATCCATATCCCAATACTTTCTAGAGCAGTGTTTCCCTACCTGAGCGTGGACTTCAATTTCCAGAATTCCCTCAGCCAGCATGTTTGCTAGGGGATTCTAGGAGTCCAAGTCCAAAATTATCCAAGAAAATCACCCAGGGTTAAAAATTATGGAGTGGACCTAATATTGATTCAGAGAGATTTTTAAATGGGCTGTAAAAACCCAGACATTCCACTAGAGAGCAGCAGAGTTAATTTTCTCCCTTTCTTTGCTACCCTCTGGTGGTCATAACAATTTCTGCATTCGATTTCAAAGGCCTGACTCTTCATGTCTTACTGTAACTTTTTCATAATACAGGTAGTTCTCCACTTACGACCCTTTGTTTAATGACAAATGGTTGTAACTCAAGTTCAAAGTTACAAGGGCACTGAAAAAAGCGACTTACGACCAGTTTTCACATTTACGACCGTTGCAGCATCCCCCATGCTCACGTGATCAAATTTTGGACGCTTACAACTGGCTCATGTTTCGGTTGCAGCGTCCCGGGGTCACGTGACTTATTACCATTTTTTTCACACTTACGACCATTGCAGCATTCCCATGGTCGCATGATCAAAATTAAGATGCTTGGCAATTGGACTCACATTTATGACGGTTGCAGTGTCCTGGGGTCATGGGATCAATCTCCTTTTGTGACATTCTGACCCGCAAAGTCAGTGAGGAAGCCAGAATCACTGAACAACAGTGTTGCTA